TCTACAGCTGAAGAGGTCAGCCTTAAACCAATTCCGGAGCCTTGTTCTGATGAGGCTTTGTCGACATACAGGCTCCACTCCGGAGCTTCAGTTCTCGGGTCTAAGTGCTCGGAAGATAGCTCGATGATAAAATCGGCGAGGACCTGAGCTTTTATGGCTGCTCGGGGTCTATACTCGATGTAATATTCACTGAGTTCTATGGCCCATTTAGCTAATCTTCCTGATTGTCTAGGGCTGTGCAGAATCGTGCGTATTGGTTGTGAAGTCATTACGACGATTGAGTGCGATTGGAAATAGGGTCGTAGCTTTCTGGCAGCTGTTACGACCACCATATCTAATTTTTCCATAGTAGGGTATCTAGTTTCGGCGTCTATCAGACTTTTGCTTTAATAATAGACGGGTCTTTGCTCATTTTTTTCTTCTCGTACCAGCACACCGCTAACTGCAGAGGTTGATACAGCGAGGTATAGGTACACTGGTTCTCCTGTTACTGGTTTGGACAGGATCGGAGGCTCGGAGAGGTAAGTTTTCAGTTGCTTAAAAGCTTCCTCGCACTTCTCATCCCATAAGAACTTCTTATTATTTTTCAGAAGTTTATAGAACGGGAGGCATTTATCGGTGGACTTGGATATGAATCGATTCAAAGCTGCGATTTGTCCAGTCAGTCTCTGTACCTCTCTGGTTATCTTAGGTGACGGCATTTCCAGGAAAGTCGCTATCTTTTTTGGATTGGCTTCGATACCTCTTTCGGTTACGAGGTAACCGAGAAACTCGCCCGAGGGCACCCCGAAGGTGCATTTTGCGGGGTTGAGTTTCATATCGTATTTGTTGAGGATATCGAAGCATTCTTTTAGGTGGGAGATGTTATTTTCTCCAACTGAAGATTTAACTAGCATGTCGTCAATATATACTTCCATGGTTTTTCCGAGCTGTCCGGCGAACATTTTGTTCACAAGCCTTTGATAGGTAGCTTCTGCGTTTTTTAATCCGAATGGCATTACCTTGTAACAATAGGTTCCACGTTCGGTTATGAACTCAGTTTTTTCTTGGTCTTCAGGGTTCATCATGATTTGATTGTACCCCGAGAGGGCGTCCATAAAGGACAGGAGCTGATGGCCAGCTGTCGCTTCAACGAGGCGATCGATGTGAGGTAACGGAAAACTGTCTTTAGGACAAGCCTTGTTTAGGTCGGTGAAGTCTACACAGATTCTCCACTTCCCGTTTTTCTTTTTTACGACTACGGGGTTAGCTAACCAATCGGGGTAGTGCACCTCATGAATGGACCTTGCTTTCGTAAGTCGGTCAACTTCGTCGTTGACAGCTTGAGCCTTTTCGAGGCCCAGCTTGCGACGCTTTTGTTTGATCGGTTTGAAAGTAGGGTCTACATTGAGCTTATGAGTGGTGACGTTTGGGTCTATACCCTTCATGTCACTGGTGGTCCATGCAAACATTTTGACATTGCTTTTCAGGAAGTCAATTAGCTCCTTTTTAGTTTCGAGAGGTAGCTCCAATCCGATATTCACGTTTTTCATGATCAGAATCGTCGATGCCAACTCGCTCAGTTAGGTTCCTAGGGGAATCTCGAATATTCTGTTGCATCTCACGACCTTCCTGGATCTGTAATTGCTATTTGGGTGATTCTTTGAGGATTCCAAATCCCCCCAAGTAGCAGATTCTGGAGATCTTCTGGCTACCTCGTATAGTGGTTATTCCTTCAGGTGTCGGGAATTTCACGCATTGGTGATAAGTGGAAGCTACTGCTTTCATCATATGGATCCAGGGTCTTCCTAGGATTGCGTGAAATGGAGAAGGTCAGTCGATAACTACGAAATTGGTCATTTTCATAATCCCGCCAGCTATGACTGGGAGCTTAATAATTCCCAGAGAGGTAACTGTTTCTCCAGAGAAACCCACGAGGTTAGCTTTCTGGCCAATAAGGTCGACAGAGCTTCCGGTGTCTACCATCAGCTTAAGCCCTTCATACCCTGCAATGTTCAGGGTGACGATTAAGGCGTCATCGTGAGGCCTGTCAAGGTCTGATGTCTCGCTCTCCCAAAATGAAATCTTAGTGTTGGATTCAGGGTTGGGAGGCTTATATTGAGTATTAGACACAACCTTCCGTACGTGACTTTTAATATAATTAACGGAGTCCTGACATATATCGGACCCTCCGAGGATATAATCCACCCTCGAGCTGGGGCTCGATTGAGGTGGTGGTTTGCTCAGAAAGGCCTCGATTTGTAGTTTTTTTCCTTGGGGAAATTTCCCAAGAATCATGTCGACTCTCTTCTTGGGAGCTGGCGGTGGCGAGTCTGTCTCCTTCTCAGGTGACCTTTCGCGTTTCAGAGAGGTATCTCTGGGACCTCTTTTTTGGTAGGGTGGTGGTTTTTTGAGTTCCACGTCCTTTAGCTCTCCAGCTACAAATTTAGCTGCCAACTGTCGTTGGAGGTCCCAACATTCTTCTGTTGAGTGTCCTTTTCGATCGTGATAAGAGCAGTGTTTGTTCTCATCGTAGCCCTTCGACCAGGGGGTTTTACTTGTCGCGGCAACAGGTTTTTCCTATTGGGCTTCCTCGACTGCATAAGAATTCTCTCCCTGGGTCTGATTATTTCAGAAGCTCCCCTTTTTAGGGGGTCCTTTTGCTTCCGGGGCTTCACATTTCGGGTGATTCTGAGATTTCTTATAGATTTTATCTAGTGCAGTTGTTTCCTCTTCCAAGGTAATATATCTAGATGCTTTGTGAAGAGCATCATCGATAGTTGGGGGAGGATTGAGCGTTAGCTCGGACCAGAATTCTGATTTGTACTAGAGTCCTCTTCGAAGAGCTTTGATGGCAACTTGGTCATTGGGATTCGAGAGCTTAGTTCTTACTGCTCTGAATTTTTCGATATAGACCCAGTAATCAGTCTCCCATTCCTTGTCTGATTTTCCAGAGGTCGGCCTCGGAAGCTTGCTTTAGGATATGGGTCGAGTATTGCTTCATGAAGGCGTTGGTCAGCTGGTCGAAATTGTCTATTGAGTTCGGCTCAAGGCCAGAAAACCATTCGAGAGATGTTCCGACTAGGTTTTCGGCGAATGTTCGGCAGTAACCTGCCTCGCATTCTTCTCGCGTAAAGTGAGCTTTCACGATAGCTAATCGAAAGGCTCTCAAATGAGCCTTAGGATCTGAGGTCCCATCATATTTGGGAATCCTAATCTTTCGGGTATCTCTTATGTAAGAGCTAGCGATTCTGTCCGTGAACGGGGTCCCACGGTTTTCCTTAATCAAGCTCTCAATTTCGGGAGCTGAGCTCGTAGCCTTGTGGACTTGAGCATTCAACTTTTGGAGAGGTGCATGAGTTTGCTCCATATATCTGCGGATGGCCTCAGGTCCCTCTAGAGGAAGGATAGTTGGGTCATTATTAAGAATCTGACGGGAAGGTTCCTGACGGAGTTGAGTTTGGTCATTCTCCCAGGCATTTGGTGGGCTAAATTGCTCATTAGCTCTTGGGTTGTTTTGAGGGATGCGACCAGCAGGGTGAGCTGTGGGATCAGCTTCCGTCCTTTGATGACCATGCCAGTTCGGGATCGCGTTCCTAGTTTGATAAGCCGAAGCTGATGTTCTTCCCCCAAGAGGAAAATATATTCCTTCTCTGGACCTGAAAACAGGTGGTGGAGGTGGCAAACGTGTGCTCTGTTCAGTAACCCCATTGGGCGCAGAGCTGGTTGTCGCTACGTTACTTATAGCGCTGGTTACAGGTGGGTTAAACGTGGGAGCTGTTCCAGCATGAGGTGTCTGGAGAACAGATTCCTGCCCATACGGAGCAGTGCTATCGGGGGAAAAATCTAGACGTCCACGAGGGAACGCGGGATCGGACAACCGATCTTGGAAAGTGATTCCCGAGCCCTGGCGTTGCAGTGGCTGGGTTGTTGCGGTCAGATATCTAGTTACCTCTTTAAATCGTTGCTGCCGAGCAGCTAGCTGTTGCAACGTTCGCTCATTCTCTTGAGCTATGTCTACTAATTGCACCATCATTCGACGGATTTCAGATAGCTGAGCCTCTGATTGATTCAGAGCGGGTTGACGTTGAGGATTCTCGGGGGCTGTTACCCCATAGATGTTTCCACTGGAGGATCTTGGGTTAGTTATTCCAGTGGTGGTCTGTTTCGGTTGAGCATTAGCCGGAGGCTGTTGCTCAGATCAGTGATCGGCGGGTCGAGGCTCCGGGACCTGAAGATTCGAGTCTCTTCTATTTGGTGAGTCGTCGATCTGGATCACGGGATTTGGGATAGATGGGTTCGTTGCCTGGTTGGATGGATCCATACTCAAGTTACGGAGTAAGGGATTCGATTATCTCGTCCCCACAGACGGCGTCAAATGTGAGGGATAAAACTCACCTCCTAATTTTAGATCAAGTTAAGATTAGAGAAAAGATAACGTTGGCTGAATCCCGTTTAGAACTTGTAGAATGAATTATGATTTGTATTAATGTTTATGATGAAAGGATGGTTACAAAGACAATTTTGGTGATTACAAAGAATTGTGGAAATGTTTGTGAACTAATATGTGTGTCGAAAATGACTGAATGAATGGATCCCCTTCTTCTTCATATTTCTTCTCTTTACATAACCTCATGCCACGTTTGACTGCTCCTAACTGATCTCCGAGATTGCCTCCGTGAGTTATGGGATTGGTAACAGCTTGACTTTGACCAAATCTTACGCCTCTCTATTCGTATCCTGAGTTCTTTCTTCTAGGTCCCTGCGAAAGGAACCGGACTTCTTTCCCGTGACCTCCTTTATTAGTATTTCAGAAGGTGGCCTCTGATTTTAAGTTAGCTTCATCCTTCTTTTCTCAAAGTCATAGCCCGTGGTAGGCCTTATCGCGGCCCATCGCAGGCTCTTATTATTTTACCCATGAGCTTCAGCTAACGGGCCATATTTGGGTCCAACACCGTTCCGTCGTAGTTCCTCCTCCATGAAACGGTCAACGTGTAATCAACTCATTCTCGGGCAGATTAATGACTCCTTATAAAGAACTTGACTCGCGTTTGCAGTCTGTGTTTGATCTAATGACAGTAAGCAATGAACAAAATCTCCATTTAGAGAGATGATCTCAACGTTAGACAGGAGAGCGCTTCGTTGTATGGCGTCACTGCTGACGTCAGACGCGAGTTTCTTCATGAAGATCACAAGAAAAAAGAACGGCTCCAACCGCCTTAAGAAACTCCTCGAAAAGTAAGATGACGTGGACGACTTGCTCTGCGCCGCTATCTTGGGCTATTTCCTCCATGTCATGACTGATAAGCATGCGTCTTACGTGGCGTTGCGGGGGATAGGCATTTTCCACGAGGAGAAGAAAAAGGCAATGTACGAGCACACACTTGTAGATTCTAAAATCCACACTAAGTATTTTGTAGTGATCAAGAGTTTAATCAGGGGAAGACAAATGATGTGGGCAACGATGCTCTTAAGCACAACGATACAATCAGAATTAGGTTGACAAAAATGGACCTTTTATTGAATATGGAATTCGTTTACAAGGTGATGAACAAGATCGAAAACAACAATCAAAAGTAGAAGTAATAAGCGAACTAGAAATCTATAGAGTGAGGTTGATGTGATTAGTAAATAGCTCAAGGGTTTTCCGTGTGTGTTTTCTCACTGTTCCAGCTCCCTTTTATATCCCTCTCCTCTTCTAATTGCTTCTGCGATCTCCGGGCTATCATTTCGACCTCGTAGAGTCCGGTTGGTTTCGATCTCGTGATGGTCTTAGATGGACTTGAGCCTACTTAATCAGATGCTAAAATTGGGTCCAACATTTGTCCCCCAATCTTTTTATTTTATAAAAGATGAAGATGGCCCATTGAAACTCAATTGACAAGAGGCGGCTCAGCGTCCACGGCGGCAGGAATCCGACATGTGTCACCTCCCCATCTATGGAACGTTGGCGTGCGTCTCTAACGACTACTTGTGCCGTATTCGAGATGAAACCTAAATATTGTCTTCTCGTTAATGACAAAGCCGTTTTGGTGTCGGCGAATTTTCTTATAAATATCAGAGGTCTTTCTTTCTTTCGTAACTCTTTCTTTCTCTTGTAAACTTTTTGTTCTGTGCGATATTCGATTTTATTTTAAGCAAAGATGGATACATCGTTCACTTTTCCTCTTCCAACCACACTACTGTTCATCTCGAGGATTTCTACACGACTTATGGTGTAGATCATAGCGTCAAGTTCGAACTGGCCACTACGCTTGAGACCCCTAAAACTGTTCGCGAGGGATTTTGCAGAGCATACCTTTCATTCTTCGAATCTTGCGGTCTTTTCTTCCTGATTCGTGGCCCAAGCCTCGGGATTGTGGCTGAATTGGGTATACCTCTCACTCAGATGTGCCCAAACTTCTTGAGGCATCTTTTGGCACTTGTGGTTAGAGCTCGCGAAGAAGGCTTGCAATTCGGTTTAGAGGAGCTACGCCACTTGTGCTTGTTGAAGAGGAACAATCAGAGCCCGGGGACTTTCCTTATGTCGCTGCGCGTAGAAATCCATGTTATCCAGAGGGTTCCATACCGTGATCAAGATTGGCGAGAGAAGTTCTTTGTCTTCACATTCGTCAATGGGTGATTTCGACTACTTTGGTCTGTCGATATAGGTTAGTTCTGGTTCTTTTATCATATACACTATTTTTTTATCTTTAATATCTGACTTCTGAAGTGGTTTTATGGTTTTCCAGTGCATTTCGTGAACTCTCCGAAGTCGAACGAGATCTGAGATCTGTTGAAGATGTTACAACGAGATCGCCCAGATTGGTTGTCTTTTGACGGTGAACGAATCCGCGCCGCCTTCTTGCTGCCAGATGGACCAATCAAGCGTCGGCTATTACCAGCTGTTCGATCAAACTCAAGGATATCACAGGACCTTCTAGCGATCCCCCTTCTTCTGTCAGGCCGGATAGACAGTTGGCAAGGAGGTCATCGTTCAGGAACCGGAGTCGCGTCACGAGGAGTAGAGATCTCAAGGATTCAACTTTGATCCCAGTTCTGGTTTCTGACGTCGATGGGACTTCTGGAGCAGGAGGATCCCCGATTTCTCTGAGTCATGGTTCAGAGGAGGACTTTGCTTCCAATGATCGCAAGCGCCGACGATTGTCGCTTCGAAGTCGCAATACGTCGGCTCCGAGTCCTTTTGTTTTTCCTCCGGCTTCTCCTGAGGAAAAGGAGGCGTATGCCAAGATCGTGGATGTCAATTCCAAGGTTGATTATGTTCTTTCTTTTCGTATTCTTAGTGAATCTGTCTCATTCTGATGGTCTTGATACTTTGTAGGTTATGGTCGCCATTGAAGAGTTCGTCGCAATGTTTGAGGGCCGTGCTCAGAGAGATTTAGCGAGGTGTTGGGAAAAAAATATCCAGGCACCAGATTCCTCCAGCCTCCGGGCTGGGCACTAGCCTCTAGACCCCTGCTCCGAAGGAACCAAGGGCCCAGAACCTGCATCAAGGTTACCCGGGCCCGACCTCTGCTCCAAATGCCGGCGCTTGGATAAAATGGAAGTTCTCCACTTAAGGGAACTCTTCCATATTCGCCAATATGGAAGGGTTTAACCTAATGCAAGCCGACATCTACACCTATATAAGAGGAACCCAAACCCTAAAATAAGGGATCCACTTAGAGATTGAGAGACAAGATCTAGGAGGCTAGAATTAGGGTTCATACACCAAACATTGTAACCGCCCTTCGATTAATCAATAATATGTCTCCTTCTCTACTTGTTTCTGATTGTTTTCTCTTTGATTACTCCTTGCCTCATACAAATATCCTCGCTTCTCTTTGTTCATATACAACCTTCAATGTTCCGTAGTACTAAAACGACCCTACACAAAAATACCATAACAGCTTGGTGCTAGAAAGAGGGGAGTAATCCAACTATGTGACAATGACACTAGAAGAATCAACTGAACCAACCGGAGCTACTCCAAGAGAAGCCGAGCTCCTCAAGCAGCTCAACACCCTCCAAGGAGAAATCACTGAGCTCCGCAAGGCTCGAGAAACAACCGGAGATAGCTTAGAACTTCTCCAAGAAGTTCAGACCCTAAAAGCTAAACTCGACGAGCACACCCAATAGCTGCAACGAAGCGCAGAGAAGGTAGGAGCACTCGAAGATGAAAACCATCATCTCCAAGAGGAGAGCCAAGATCTCGGGAAGAACAGCAACAAGCGCCGGAGGTTTCGAGCCCCAATTCGAACCATGCCCTCCCTCAACACTCCTATTGATGAAGACGACGCAACTCGGCATCCAGCCTCCGGCGATAAGAAACCCGAGGATAAGGAAACTACGATGAGGAAGACACGTGTAACCATCAGAAGTGACTCCGATATGGAGGACGAGGAATACTCACCCGATGATCGCTCGATCTCAGATCCAGCAGCCGTAGCATGCCTAGAGAAGATGTTCTCCGCAAGATTCAACACTATCCAGTCGATGGTAGAGAGGCTTCCAGGTGTAGCTCCCCATATCAGGAGAAGTGACTCCAACTCCTACTCCGACACGCCCTTCGTGGAAGAGATCGCTTCAGTCGAGATGCCAAGGAAATTCTCATTCCCTACAATGAAGACCTACGATGGGACCAGCGATCCAGAAAACCACGTAGCTCTCTACAAGCAACGGATGCTGACAGCAGCAGTCCCCTGAGGACTGAGAGAACCTGCCATGTGCAGGGGCTTCGGCTCAACCCTGGCCGGTCCTTCCCTCCAATGGCACATCAATCTCCCTACGTAGATCATAAGGTCCTTCGCAGAACTCAGCGACAAGTTCGTAGAGCAGTTCGCCAGCGACAAGTTCGTAGAGCAGTTCGCCAGCAACAAGTTCGTAGAGCAGTTCGCCAGCAGCAAAAACCTGGAAAAGAATTCCGATGATCTCTACGAAGTACTCCAGCAAAGAGCCGAACCTATTAGGGCCTACATCGCACACTTCAACCAAGAAAAAGTAGCCATTCCCGAGTGCAACGCATGGACGGCTAACTCTGCCTTCAAAAGGGGACTGCTCCCTAACGGAGACATGTATAAGGAACTAACCAAGTACCAGTGTAATACGATGGAAGATGTCCTATCCAGGGCCTTGGCCCAAGTAAGATGGGAAAAGGACATCAAGAGTCGAGCTAAGGCCCAGCAGAAGCAGGAGTCTAGGTCGAGCAAGTAGCTCAGAATTATCGCGACGAAGCATCCCAGTCCAGGCCCCCGAGGGAAGCCAGTGGGTATAGCAGAGGCAGATATCCTAATCGCCCCCTGAAAAGATACAACATTTCAACTATTGTTATTATGAGAAGACACAAATGTTATAACCTCGTTTAAATACTCTTAAACTATTTTTTTCTGAAACACAAATTTATTTTATAATGAAAAGATGTAACTTTTAAAACAATAGTTAACTTTTATGAAAAAAACACCATTCTATTTATAATAAAAAGATGCAACTTTTAAACAAATATATTTTAGTTTTTATTAAAAGATACAACATTTCAACAATTGTTTTGTTTTTTCATATAATGATCCTAATAAAATTTTAATGCAAATTTTAAAATAAGATTTTTTTTTGAAAGACACAATTATTTTTATAATGAGAAGATGCAACTTTTAAATTAGTATATTTCAGTTTTAATACAACCTTTCAACAATTGTTATATGAGAAGACACAATTCTTATAACCTATTTTAAATAATTTTAAATTAGTTTATCTGAAACACAATTTTTTAAATAATGAAAAGATTCAACTTTTAAAATAATAGATAATTTTTTATGAAAAGGCACAATTCTATTTATAATGAAAATATGCAATTTTTAAACTATTATGTTTCAATTTTTTTTGTGAAAAGATACAACCTTTCAACCATTGTTTTGTTTTCCATCTAATGGTCCAAATAAATTTTTTTATACAACTTTTTTTAAAAAAAGGTTTTTTCAAAAAGACAATTGTTTTAAGAATGAAAAAAAAATGCAACTTTTAAACTAATATATTTCATATTTTTGTGAAATGATACAACATTTCCACAATTGTTTTTTTTTTCATGTAATGGTCTTTAAAATGTTTTTGTAGACATAAGATACTTATGCCATTAACATATTTTTTTTCAAAAAACAACTCTTTTTATATGAAAGATTCAAATTTTTTCATGTTTGAAGAGTTACAATCTGCTAGTGATAATTGTTTTATTTTTTTCTATAGGTCCTAATAATTTATTTTATACTTATTAAATTTGCCATGAGCAGTTATTTTTTCAAACAACACATCTCTTTAATTTGAAGAGTCATACTTTTCCTCGAAACTCTTGAAAGTTTACATTTTAGAACAAAACACATCCCTTGATAACCTATCAATGTACATTTTCAGACTATTATAAATAGAAAATTTTATAGATGCAATTTTGTAAGAAAAGTTGCATGCTTTATTTTCTAATATAGGTATGATTCTTAGCATTCTTGAATATAATGTTTGATTCATTATATAGATCTAAACGATCTTTAAAAATTTAATGTTGTGTCTGCAAAAATAAATTAATAGGATGCAAACATGTAGGGACCGAAAAGATAGCGAACGTGTAAGGACCGAAAGGGTGCAATGTTTCGGAACTAAAAGGGTGCGAACGTGTCGGGACTGAAAGGGTGCGAATGGTTCAGGACCGAAAGGGTCCAAACGGTTCAGGACCGAAAGTGTGCGAACGATTCAGGACCAAAAGGGTGCGAACGTGTCGGGACCAAAATGGTGCGAACATTTCGGGACCTAACGGGTGCGAACGTGTCAATACCAAAAGGGTGCGAATGTCTCGGGACCGAAAGAGCGCGAACGTATCGGGACCGAAAGGGTGCCAACGTGTCGGGACAAAAAGGGTGCGAACGTGTCGGAACCGAAAGGGTGCTAATGTGTCAGGACTGAAAGAAGGCGAATGGTTCAGGACCGAAAGGGTGCGAACGGTTAAGGACCGAAAGGGTGCGAACGGTTTGGGACCAAAAGGATGCGAACGGTTTGGGACCAAAAGGATGCGAACGGTTTGGGAACGAAAGGATGCGAACAGTTTGGGATCAAAAGGGTGGAAACGTGTGAAGACCGAAAGGGTGCAAACATGTCGGGACCGAAAGGGTGCGAACGTGTCGGGATCAAAAGAATGCAAACGTGTTGGGGCTGAAAGGGTGCGAATGGTTCGGGACCGAAAGGGTGCTAACGGCTCGGGACCGAAAGGGTGTTAATGGTTCGGGACCGAAAGGGTACGAACATCTTAGAAGCGAAAATGTGTGAATGTATCGTAACCGAAAAGGTGCGAATGTAACGTCATCAAAAGGGTGTGAATGCAATGTCACCAATAGAGTGTGAATATAATGTCACCGAAAGGTGCAAATGTAATGTCACCAAAAGGGTGTGAATGTAACATTTCTGAAGGAGTGGGAACATAATATTACTGAAAGGGTGCAACGTGTCGGGATCAAAAGGGTGCAAACGTGTCGGGACCGAAGGGTGCAAATGTGTCCGGACCTAAGAGTGCGAACGTGTCGGGACCGAAATGGTGCAAACGTGTCGGGACCGAAAGGGTGTGAATGATTCGGGACCGAAAGGGTGCAAACGGTTTGGGGCCGAAAGGGTGTTAACGGTTCGAGACTGAAAGGGTACGAAAAATTCATGAGCAAAAAGGTGCGCATATATCGTAACCAAAAATGTGCGAATGTAACGTCATCAAAAGGGTGTTAATGTAAAGTCACCAAAAGAGTGCAAATATAATGTCACCGAAAGGTGCAAATGTAACGTCACTAAAAAGGCGTGAACGTAATGTTTCTAAAGGAGTGGGAACATAATATTACCGAAAGGGTGCGACCATATTGAAAGGGTGCAAACGTAATATTATTTTATATATAATAATAATCTTTGAAATTAGTTTAAGAAAAGGATGAAATTACATATAATGTAATCATTGCGCTAAAATATTTCTGAAAATGGATGAAAAACTTACTTGCAAAAAATGTACAAAATCATATACTATTGGCATGTTATTGTAACATAGAAAAACAAAAACAAAAATTGTAATTTTATTACCAACAGATTATTAATACCAAACACATTAAAATATGTATAAACTTGAGATTGTTGTCGAAAATAATTCGGATTTAGTTTTATTAACCATATTCAACAAAGACATGACCCGCATTTTGGGTAAATCAGTAACATGTTTAAGTCAATTTCACGTAAGTATAATACTTATAATTATTATTAAACTATGGTGTATAATCAGAAATTAATATTTAAAATTACTATATGCAGGAACAGTCATACATATAATGATTCAAGTGATAATGCAATTATCTCCTACTTTTCAGAAAAGCTTATCGATTTTTTTTAAAATTCAATGTTAAAGTCACATCTTACAATTATCAGTCAATATCTGTTGGATTAACGGTTACAAGTATCACAGACAACCAAAGTATTAATGAAGATGTACAATATTTTTGGAATATTTTTTTTTTTTTGGTAAATACAAATCAGAAAAATTATAAAGAAAATCAACAAACTTACATTTAATTTTAACAGCCTATTATAATAAATAAAATTATTGACAATGCGGACATGATAGAAGAAACCAATGCTTCTAAAGGAAATAAAACAAGGAAACGAAGAATATCAAATACATCAAAAGATTTAAAATAAAGTGAAGCTGACAATCTAAATGAAAGAGCAGAAGCAATTGAAGAAGTCAAACGGCCACAAAAAAAGGAAAAAAACTGAAGACGATTATGTTACTTAATTTTGCTACTAAATATATAACATTTAAATTTACATATTTTTAAACACAAATTATACTTTCACTCTTTTGTTATATAAGATTATTTTTAATTTTTTTATTTACATATAAAATAATTAGTTTATAAATGATTCAAAATGATTGATCAACAAATATAAATTATATAAAGATAACTTTAAAAAAAAAAAAATTAAACATCATTTCTCCCGCGCGTTTACGCGCAGGATGATTTTCTAGTTGTAGTAATAAGGAAGATGAAATATGATCCATAATGTAATGTTTGTTTCTCAATTTATTTCTCTTACATCTTTCATGTATCTAATATACCTAATCATATTTATACATTTGAATATATTAACTATGTTATATTTAATATCCAAAATGAAAAAGATATTTTGAAGTTATCCAAAATATATATTAATAGTCAAAAAATAAATATCTAAAATATCTAAACAATACTCATGAGACTGAAAATATTTAAAATATCTTTTGATTCAACATCCAAATATTTTGTCACACAAATTTATATGTTATATCTCATTTTTATTCTTATATTTTTCAAAATCTAAAGTGTAAATAAATTTTAAAATTTTTAAACTAAGCGGATTATTCAAACTCAAACTGAACCGAACCAAAATTTATAAATATTCAAATTGTGATAAAATCTCTAACCTAGCAAACTCGAAATTAGAATAAATCCGAACCCGAGTGGGGCAGTGAAACTCCATCTGTGACGCAGCTCATAAGAGAGAGCTAAGGTAGCCAATAGTAAAATGACACGTACCTAAATCCCTACGCTTTTTAGAGACAAAAAGCGAATGTCTATTATCGTCACTTGGCGAACAGTTAATGACTCCCGTCGTCGCCTCTCTTTCTCCTTCCTCCATCGTCTCAGTTTTCTCTCTCATCTCTCCGATCTTTGATAGATCTCCTATAGACCCTCTTGGGTTCATCAATTGCTAGATTATCTGAATGGATCGTGGTAATAGAAGCAGCACCGACGCAGGAACAATGGAATCAACGGAGATTCATTCTCAACCGCAGCCTGTGGCGGTTCTAACTGCAAACGCGCCTCCTCCTCCGTTCCTGAGCAAGACCTATGACATGGTTGACGATCCCGCTACCGATTCGATTGTGTCGTGGAGTGCTAACAACAACAGTTTTATCGTATGGGATCCGCCACAGTTCGCTAAAGATCTTCTTCCCAAGAACTTCAAGCACAATAACTTCTCCAGCTTCGTCAGGCAGCTTAACACCTACGTAATATTTCTCTTTCCCTTCGTTAAGAGGTGTTTGACTTAGTTTACAATCTTTCCGTTTTGGTATTTCAGTAGATATACTGCAGCTACCATTTCAATAGCTTTCTTTTCTTGTTGGGGTGACTAGTGCAAGTCGTTTTGCTCAATTGAAACCACCTGAGCAGTGTAGTTAATGGAATTCTAGATTTTTTATGAAGCTTGCACTTAAGTTTTCAACTTGGAGATGTGAAATATGAGATAAAAGATTTATCCTTTGATGTTAATTATAGTGGAAGATAGTAATGAATCTTCCTCACTTTTCTCAGCATTTATAAACCACAAGAAAGAAGAAAAATGGGATAAAAGAGAGCATGTCTCATGACCTGAGTGCAAGGGTTTTCAACTTTCTGTTTTGCTACAGATCATCTTGTTGTAAATGAGTCCAGGTTTTATGAAGAGAAACCTAAAAGGCCAACGTGGTCACTAGTGCCTGGAGTAGAAACAAGATCATAAGTTGGATGTTGCAATATCGGTGCTCTTATTAGTATAACATGACGTCAGTTACGGGAATCATAGAGTTGCTTCGTGCAGTTTGATTTAGGTTGACTAGTTATCGGCTCATATAGACTGGATGGAATTTGTGTTGCCTATACAAGCTTTTCTTTATACAAGGTCGTCATGAATAAAGCTTATACTGCCCAACAGTTAGAGCGGAGCTGCAAATATTGTTGCAAGATGGTGAATACGCTTAAATAAGCTGGATTTTTCTGTAGATATCTTTACTAGTTATTCCATATCATAAATATTATACTGGTATACCATAGAGACCGTTTACTCTCTTAGTTTTTAGTGATCCCTATTGGATATTTTGTTTTCTCCTTCGGTTTGGGTGGTAAGTTAGAGTTATAATAGGTCCATGTATACAGCAGTTTATTGCTTCATCTGCTGATCAGATCAGCTGTCTTCCATTGGTCTGCTACGTGTACTTGACTTCTAAAATGAAAATTGCTCTTTGAGCATGTGATTCCAACTAATAAGCTACTTCCTGTCTATGGCTGTTTGAATCTGTGAATAGTTGGCAGTTAGGCTTTGTATTGGAGTCATTAAATTTGCACGTCGCAGTATTATCTTATGGCGCGACTTCTTTCTCGTTGTTTTGATGGAATCCATTTTCACTCCATTTTGTGCGTCTTTTCTTGAAACAGGGTTTCCGGAAGGTTGACCCAGATAAATGGGAATTTGCTAATGAAGGTTTCTTAAGAGGTCAGAAGCACTTGCTAAAAACAATAACTCGGCGAAAACCTGCACAAGCACATGGAAATCAGCAATCTCAGCACTCGATTGGGCAGAACTCAACTGTAAGCTCATGTGTTGAAGTTGGCAAATTTGGTCTCAAAGAAGAGGTTGAGAGGCTTAAACGAGACAAGAACGTTCTTATGCAAGAACTCGTCAGATTAAGACAGCAGCAGCAATCCACTGATAACCAACTTCAAACGATGGTTCAGCGTCTCCAGGGCATGGAGAATCGGCAACAACAATTAATGTCATTCCTTGCAAAGGCAGTGCAAAGCCCTCATTTTCTATCTCAGTTCTTACAGCAGCAGAACCAACAAAACGAGAGTAGTAGGAGAATCAGTGACACCAGTAAGAAGCGGAGATTCAAGCGAGATGGTATTGTCAGTAATAAGGATGCTGCTTCTCGTGATGGACAGATAGTGAAGTATCAGCCTCCAATGCACGAGCAAGCAAAGGCAATGTTTAGTCAGCTTATGAAGATGGAACCTTACAAAACCGGCGATCTTCTTGGTGACGGTACTTCTACTACTACAGAAGGAACAGAGATGGAGATTTCATCAAACAATGTATCGGGTATAACTCTGCAGGAGATGCCAACAGCTTCTGAGATACAATCATCACCACGAAGTCGAGCAACACCTGAAAATGTTACAGTAGCTGATTTTCCAACACCTGATGAAGCAGTTCCTTCACCTGGTGATCTACCTCTACCCGAATTTGCTGATATGCTACCAGAGAATATCGCCGGGATGCCTCCTGGGAATTTCTTGGAAACAAACGAGGAAGGTTTTAGTCCTATCCTAGATTCAGATCTGTTCATCGATGGTGAATTACCCTTTGACATTGACGACATTCTGAGGGACCCCGATTTGGAACCTTCGTCAGTGGTTGATGATGATTACGCTTCACTCTTTAAAGACATTCTCATGTCAAGCCCGGTTCCAGATGATATGGATGTAACACCAGTGGATGTTAGAACCAAGGACAGTGACACAGAGAAGAAACAGATGGATAATCTGACTCAACAGATGGGTCTCCTCTCGCCTGAAACCATAGATCTCTCCAGGTAACTAATATAACTTTAGTAGTTATTTATCAGACAAAATAAAACTCTAGTAACTCAACTGTATCTGCTTATATATCTTCATAATGTTGGTTCCCTTCAGGCAAAATCCTTGAATTTGGAAGCTATCAAGTCTTTTGAAGTAAAACCAAACTAATATGTTCCCTGAGAACAGCATATTCATTTCATGCACTGATCATTTTATTTCTTCTTTCTTATATCAATCTACATTTACACTATCAAGTTGGAAGAATATTGTCGAAGTTTCAATCTATTCTTAAAGTTTTTGCCTATTTTGTTAGAAGAGGTAAATGAACTTTATGAGATCAATAGAATAATCCATTGTGGTTGATTTGATCTATTGTGTCCCATGAGTCATCATACTTTGCACCATACTTTGCACCTTTAAATATATACAGATGTACATTTTGAACAACTAGATTTATATTACTAACTAAAATAAGATTAAAAAAAAAAGAGATTATTTAAAAAAAAAAAAAATCTTATCCAAAACAGAATCTGAGCAAAAAAAAGTTCCAAAATGAAACTGAATTGGTAATAAAACTTTATCTTAGTATTCAGATCTTGTGAGAGAGATAGCTACTAGCCTACTGTTATCTGTTTTCCACAAAAGGATGATGAAGAAGCTCTTCCACAGTGCCTCTCTTCCTCCAGTCCTTCTCCAAACATCTCCCAACGAAATCTCTAAACTCAAACGAACCAGTCACTGGAATCTCTACTTTCTCATTACAACAAATCGCACAAACCAGAGCTGGCCAATCCGGTTTAACTCCAGCTTTAGTCACTGGATACCTTCCAAGATAACACTCAAGAACCACAACACCTAAAGACCACACATCTCCTGCAAATCCAACTTCTTCAAAACCCCATTTATCTGGATCCACACGTTCAGGACTCATATACGCACACGTCCCGCTCGAACCATAGTCTCCTCCGGTTACAATCCGGCTCGCACCAAAATCCGCAATCTTGACCTCCCCTTTCTTGTTAATAAGTAGATTCGAAGGCTTTATATCACCATGTACTATTCTCATTTCTTGGAGATGACGTAACCCTTGGAGTATTCTGTTAGCGAGAGTGGATATCAACGGCTCAGAGAACACGTGTCGAGCAAGCAACATGTCCTGAAGAGATCCTTTCTCCATGAGCTCCATCACGAAACAGAGATGGGATGAATTAACGAAAACGGCGTAGCATTTTACGATGGAGCTAGATTCGATTCTCTTGAGAATGTCGGCTTCAAGAGTAGTGATGCTGAGGTCTGACCGGATGAGTTTTAGTGCGTAGAGAGCTGTGGTTCTCCGGTGACGGGTTTTGTAAACTGTCCCGCTTCCTTGTCCTAAAACGGTGAGTTTCTCAAGATCGTTCAAGGTTTGAACCAGCGAGGATGAGTCAGAGCTTGATGATGAAAATGTTGAAGGAGATGGGTCTCCATATACTTATAGTAGTGGTGGTGGAATAGAGAGTGTGATTGGTTCTTGGTGACGTCTCTCTCTCACAAGTGACATCTACTTTGTTATTTTTTCACTTGTGGTTCCTAAGTCCAAGGTTGCTGCATAAGGAGCTTTTTGGTTTTGTTAAATACATGAGAAAGACTTGATGATGATGATCTCCCTGTATGACACTTGTCAGTCAGTTTTAACAAACTCAAACATTTGTGGTTTTCAGGTAGTGGTGATCAGTTTGTTTCTAAAAATTTTACAGGATAAAAATAGGTCACTAGTTTTTTTGAGATTTTATTACCTTTGGTATATTTCTCTTTTCCCCGTACATCTAGTAAGGATCTTTGCTATAGTTGGGAAGACGATGATTATTGTCTGAATTTTAAATATAAAAGCACCAACTTTGTTTTCACCATCTAAAAGCAATAATTTTCTGATAAGAATGAAACTGAATAAAGATAGTGGTTTTCTTGTCAATCTGTGTCATCAACAGTACTGTCGCCTAAAACGATTTGAAAAAAAAAATTAAAGACTATTGAAATAGCTACATAAACTGACTTGTTTTACAAGCGACTGAAAGATAAGAAAAAAGAGGGAATATACAGACACGAATATAGCTTTTAAACACTCAAGAATTCTATGTCCAAACCCACTTCTCTTGAATGCCACGATTGTTTTTTCAGGCGACTCATGCTGCGAGTACTATGACAACGATGAGTAGAACGATACCAAATATCACCATTAGTAAGCACATCTGCATAATAACCACAAAGTTAAAAAGAAAAAAAAAAGAAAAAGGTAAAGTGAGTGAAAAGCTGAAACATTGTTATTCCTATATCCTTTTTCATTTTACCAGAGATGAGTTTGATCGTTGTGTCCTGGAGGCTTTCACGAGATGAGACCTTCCCTGAGCTGTTGAAGAATGTGCATTCTCGACATGGCTACCAATATCATCTGCACGAAAGAGATTTTTAGAAGCGATTACAAATTGGAATTAAAGTATTCTTGCTATTTACATTTGATTTGCTTGATAGGTGAGAGATTTTACCTATCATAGCTCCTTGGTCGTGAACCAACACCGCAAGATCTTTGAAAATCTCGTTTACTTCTCCTATTTGCTGCTGAACTTCCTGTATCCCCAGCTCTCTTTCCTCTATCACTGCTTCGTTAAAGGATATTTCGTTGTCAAGCAACAAAACTTCTTGCCTACAGATGAAGAAAGAGAGGTCACAAAGAATGAATGCAGGAGCTTATTTACAGAGAGATATGCGGGGTAGAAGTAGAACTTACTCACCTTCTAGATTCCATGAGGACACGCTGCTCTTGTGATCTATCATAGCCAATGTCTACTTCACTGTGGTATTAGGAAAAATAGAAACATCAGTAATAACTTCAAGCTGGCTACAAGAAGAGCTACCAGCCTACCAGTCAAGAGAGTTACAGGTAAAATAGACTAAATTTCAACAACCAGTTTGCTTCCAACAAACAAAAGGGTGGAGCTCTCAATCAATTTAAAGAGGGTAGAGACTAAAGGTTTCTGATATTGAATTGATGATACTTTTAAAACCATGGTGATTCGTAATACCTTGAAGACAGGTCGCCTTTTGGATCAAAAAGAGTGTATTTAGTTTCCCTTTCAGCAGCAATCCGCTGTGCCTTCTGAAACTCTTTAAGCACTGCTTCGAAATCCCTTGCAAGCTTAGCATCTGCAATCTTCTTACTTTTCTGCAGCAATATGTCCAAATCTTCTAAATTAGTGAATGAAAAATAGACAAACCATTATTATTCTAACCCGGAAAACAGCACTTACAGCAACATCTCGATGATGATCGGTCTCGCTAGCGTCTTTAAGTTTCGTCGAAGTGTCCTTTACCAAGTGCCCAATATGTAACTTTGTCTTGTGCCTGAAAAAAATAACAGAATTCACCAATTGAGTAAGTTCTCAAGCTTTTGGCAGATTTAACATATGAGAAACAAACCCATAAAGATTAAGACGAGACTCACAGCTTGTCACGGAGCTCCGGAGTATCCTTGGGAGTGCCGAGAGTATTAACAATGCGCTGGAAGGTAGAAACGGCCGTGTTGATCTGAAAGATGCCAGACGCCACCGCTTGTGTTGTTCCTCCATCCTTGTTGATCAAATTCCCTTGCGATCTCAACGGCGTCCCCGCTTCAAGATCCTGAAAGCTCATCTCTTTGATTGAGACAAAACTTAGAATCTACAAACGTTGTTGTCGAGATAGTAGAGAGTTTCTACATTCCGCTTAATATATACTCTATCCAAACGGAGGAACCCTTCATCTCTAATTCTTTCATTGATTCTTATTTCAGTTGAATTTTATTACATTTTCTCGAAAATAATTTCATCTTCTACTCTAGTTGCATGTCTCTCAACTTTCGATTCTCTCTACGTTGGTCGAACTACTTAGTTTGTGATTGCTCACCGTCTCCATTTTTGGGATTCTCGGAACATAAAAAATGACGAATTTATGAGAATCAGAGAAGATTGAGAAAAACCTTTGGCAATTAACAAGACTACATAATGGATCCATTTTACTTTAATAATTAATAATGGACTACGTTCGTAAAACCTCCTGCATTCCGCTTACTCTATCTTAACGGAGAAACCCTTCATCTCTTATTCTCTCATCGATTCTTTTTCCAGTAAATCTTTATTACATCTTCTCGAAAATGATTTTATCTTTTGTTCCAGTTGCATGCCTCTCAACTTTCGATTTTCTCTACCTTAGTTAAACTGTTCAGTTTATGGTTGCTCAACACCTCCGTTTCTGGGATTCGCATAATATATAAAAAATGATGAATTTATGGGATTAGAGAAGATTGAGAAGAACCTTTGACATTTAACAAGACTGCATATTGGTCGTCGATATGTGGCTTTTTAGAACTTTATTAACTAATACGAAAAACTATCACATGCCATATCGATTGAGCTTATATGTCAAACGTCAAAAGATATAATAAAATTATAGATTACATCAACTATGTCTCCGAATCCGCGTTTGCCGAAGATTATACCCTTAGTTACTTCTAATTTCCCACATTAGTTTAAATTTAAGCATCAGTTTCTAATTTTCGATAATTTAAATATAGAAATATTTTAAAGTTTTACAAGATACAAACCCAATTTTAATACAACTATAAATCACTTATAGGAAAAACAATTTTATGAAGGAGTGGATGAGAGTAACAACTTAATCAAGAAGTGGAGAGAAATCATATTGTTGCATATAATTGTTTGAATATTTATAAGAATTATTAAAGTATTAGTATTATTGATATATAATTTGAAAACTATAACAATGAGTAGGATATCTGTTACACATTTTCCCACTGTTAAAAGAATGAATTCATGTAAAAAATTGGAGAACTGAAATAGCCGTACAAAAAAATCGAAAATTGGATTGATTCGGTTAAATTCGGCCCAAGCTAGGCCCATGAAAGTTTAATGGACGACGAGGATTGCGTCACTGATAAACTCAAACGGCGGAGACCAGCGGCTGACGAAACGGCGATCATCCTCTTAAACGTAACTGAAGAAGAAGATTCTAGAAGGATGGTGCTATGGGAGATAACTCTGGGAACAGCCTACTTCTTGGGGCTGAGGCGAACATACAGGCTCGCCTTGAAGATCCAACGTCGTATTGTTAGTCCCAAGCATCCCAAGATCCGTCAATTTCTTCATCGGTGAGACTAGATCGTTGCGCTTTTTCTTTCTTTTTTTTTATCCTTCTGATGTTTCGTTGGAAACAAAAATTTCATTTAGGAGAAATTAGGTTTTCTGGAATGAGATATCATTGATTCTGTAGTTGAAATTGTTGTTTCGATTATGCTTCCAGTTATAATTGTTTGCTAAAAGAACCGATGAGAGATCTTTCAGTATTGTGAAATGATCATCGAAGCAGTTCGTTCCCCTGAAATCGAGTCATTTCTGTAAGATATCGATACTCTTTTGGTTGTCGTACTAGTTTGATCTTTAGTTAGCAATTAAAGCAACTATAGAATCAAGAAGGAAGTGTTATGGATTCGTTGACTTTTTGCCTTTGTTTCCAAGAGAATGATTACATCTTTCTGATTCTTGTACACGTTACAGATTACATCATTTTGGTTAGTCATTGTTTGGACTCTCTTTCTCTCGTGTGTTTGCAGGAGGACTCGTAAAATCTTCGATGTGGCGGTTTCCGTTCACAAGAACATACAACATAGAGACATTGAAGTTGGTCGGAATCTCGGCAACTGGATTCTCCGTTGGCTCGACCGGATGAAACCAGCTGCTCAGATCCGTACTCGGCCTGAACCACCACACAACTCCAACTCCAACCTTGACAAGGCAAAAAGGCTACCTGAGTCGTCTCCTCCCATATCAAACACGACGCAGAGTCCACAAAAACGTGAATCCGATAGGCACTTGTTCTCTTCGTTGAAACACGTCCAGCACAGACCTTTCCCGACCGTCTCTAGGATGATCCAGTCGCCTAGACCTAATGGAATCACTACTCAGTACAGACATTACAGTGCCTGTGCAGCCACCAGTCTGATTCGTCCGAGCTATGTTAGAGGCAGCGGGTTCGATGGTGTAATCAGGAAGGACATTTTGCAGTGGATGTTACAGAGATGACAATAAAGCAGCTAATACCGTTAAAATTTCAATCTTAGTTGAGCACCTTTGTACTTTTAATTCGAGAAACTAATGTGATTGTGGATCATATTCGGAAGTATGTCTAAACTTGTGTCTTAATCAAGAATCTGCGACCAATGATGTGAAGTTTCCAAGTGGGAATTACGATCACTATGGCCAGCATCCCTCTAGCATACTTTGATCATGATTGCTTCAAAATAACTAATATTCTTCTCATGAAACGCGAGTGGTTTGTCATTGGTGATAACAAAATACTTGTGCCTCACTCGAGGCATGAGTCTGGATCACAAGCGGCAATGAGAAATCAGGGAGAGCTAATGCTGAAGTATGCAAGAGCCTGGTGAACGAACACCTCATATGTTTCAGAGATTGGTTGATGGCAGAACTATCAGCCCCTGATCAAGGACAAACTTTCAATAGTAACAGGTGGTGAGTTCCAAAACTCACTTCGTTATGTCGGCTCTGGTGAATCAAGCATCGCTACAATCTTTGTTATCTCCACCTCCAACTCTTGCTGGCTATATACGTACTTCTTGAATTTACTGTTAATTTGACCAATACAAAGATCTCACGAATATGTTGAAACTAAGTACATGTTTTCTTGTAAATTAGTGAAACCTAATCATAGAAACTAAAAGAGTAACTGAAGGACAAATATGGGAAGACTTCAAGGCCCTAATTTTTATGAGTGAAAAACGCACCGTATTGGTCTGTGGCGACATAGTCAATAAGGTTTGGAGTAACGGTGATGCAACTTCCAAAGTTGATGTATATGATGTTAATCCGTTAAAGATGAGATTTCGAGTACATGATGCGAAGATGCGTGCTAGAATCCTGAGTACAGTTATGTGGAATCTAGCGTGAAATAGCTTAGAGATAAAGATATCTATTTCCTACCAATTTATGGATTAGGAAATAGGAAACTCGTTGGAGTTTAGAAGTTATCTAAACATTCATATCTATTGTACTTTGATCCGCGATTTAAAAGCGTGCGGGATAAGTTTTTGATTAATTTTTCTAATTTAGAAATTATTACAATTTTATTTTTTTTCTCTTAGTTTTAATATTTGAATTTTGTCTATAACTAAAAGTAATTTATATTGTTGTTTTATAGTAACCTGGGTTAGATGTTTACGTACCGTTACAATTTTTGGACCAGTTTAGTGTGAGTAATGTTAGACTGGGTTTGTATTTATATTTTTTTGAGTTATTTGGCTTTGGATGTTTAGGATCCGTGTAAGAACCAAACATTTTCCGGATCAGTTCAATTCGAGTAATATCAGATTCAGTTTGCATTTATATTTCTTTTGTTAAACCTGAAATGAAACCGAATTATAAAAAGTTTGAGTCATGTTAAACCATAAATCTCAAAAAACTTTGAAAAAATTGAACTAACTCCGAAAATCCAAAAAAGGGTAGTTTAGGTAATTAAAGGTTTTGCAAATTATAATATATAAATTATATTATATATTATGATAATTAATATCTTTATTATATTTCAAATATTTGGATACTTGTTTGGTTATCAGTGCGGTTCTGATTTTAGTTTTGGTTTTCAGGTTTGAGAAATAGTAACTGTTTGGGTTTTTCAAAATTTCGGTATGGTTTTGGTTTTAGTTTTTTCCTTTCGGTTTGAGTTTGATTTTTTTTTTATTTGGATAGTTTTTCAAGACTAGTTTTCTCGTTAGTTTTATTATATGTGCTTTAATACCCATCTTACTAAAATATTCGTTCTTGTTTTAACCTCAAAATATTCGTTCTTATTTTAACCTCAAAATAGTTTTCTCGTTAGTTTTATTATCTGTTCTTTAATACCCATCTTACTAAAATATTTGTTCTTATTTTAACATCAAAATAGTTTATATTTTTCACTTTTGTGCTATTGTATTTTTAACGAATTTTCTCCTTCATTAAATATTTCTTTATTGTTTTTAAATTGATTCGACAAAATTATTTGCCCCAAATATCAGAGTTCGTCTGTATAAATTATAGTTTTGTAATTTGTTATATAAATTAAATAGTAGTTGTCAAAAAAATAATGACACTATTGTAAATTCTTAGCAAATTAAGCAATAGAACCCGTTTTGCATTGGTCAAAGTTAATTTTTTACTTTAGAACTAAATAGGTTAAACCATTCTTCATTCCATCTATTAATGAAATATTTTGTTTATTAAATGAAAAAAACGATAGAAAATGCAGTCGTAAACTATCAGTTGTAACCTGGTCATTTATAAAACAAATGATATAACTATTATTGTTTTAATTTTTATAAACTTAAATATATATTAAGAATTTTTAATATCTTAATTTAACATTTTAGTTTATAAATAAAAATTAATGAATATCTACTGAATATTTATTTTTATAATATTCAGAATTTAAAATGCTAAGGTATGAAATTAAATTCTGATAACCTCAAATATATTTAGAGCGTACGAAAAAATGGAAGATTAATTAGAATTTAAAATGTTACCACTTACTGATGATATTATAATTATACCGATCTAAAAAATTGGACGTTTGAAAAAATATATGTTAGAAGGATAAACGTTTCGTCGATTCTCCCAAACAAAACTCAAAATGATTTATTGAATTTTTATTATTTTGAATATGATATCACTCAAATGTTTAACCCTAAGTGAATTACTCTCTCAAATAAGAGGTTCAGTTGTAGTACTTAGGGATCAAATCCACAGGGAACTAAGGAATACAATAGATATAATCTAAATGATTATGCTAGGTTGAAAGGGTTTTGAAATAGTAAATTTGCACTTTGTAAGCAATGGTAAGTTGCTTAAGAGAATGGATTTAGGTTTGAAACAATAAAAGAAAGTAGTTAGATTCAAGGTTGCTATTCAGATAATTAGGATTATAATGCTATAGATGTTTTAATGAATTGCTTGCAAGATATATGAGAACTTTGGTTCTTAGATAGATCTAATAGCAGTCGCTAAATAGACACATCCATTGATCTTATTGCCAACAATATCGACCGATGTTTTGACAGCGATATCAGACGATATGGGTTGTTGTCAATCGATGACTCTATAGGAGTATCGATCGATATAACATAAGATCGAACCAAAACTGTGTTCACCAAGATCATAGACCGGCTCTCGCACAACCCTAGAGGATCTAAGCTCATGCCAAATGATTTCAGGATAATGATTAACAAGTTAAATCACATCCATGATCATGCTCTAGGTAGCTACTCTGGAGTAAGCATTAGGGTTCATTTGGATAATGAATATCAACAATTCAACATTCCATAGTTGGGGCTAATCCCTCATAACTATTTGAACCCTAAATCTAACAAAGAAATTTACTCAACTGAGAGATTCATAACAATTAGGTAATAATAGAAACTCATAGATAGAAGATTGAACTTTTGGTTCTTGGAACAACAAATCTCTTTGTGTGTTTCTTCTAAATCTAGAATTCTATAACCTTTAAGAAATTAAGATGAAAAGAAATACTTTATAGAATAGAACAAAGTAACAAGAAAAGTATGAAAAGCTTTTCAAGTACAAAAGGTATCAAAAAGCATGAAAGACATAAAAAGCATGTAAAAGCACACCTTGCCAAACACAAAGTCAAAAACTATAAATAACAGTTCCATTAGGTTAAAAAATCGTCAGGGGCATTATTGTAATATTGGGAAGACTTGGCTTCAAGTCGGCCAAGTTGAACTTGTTCTCCACGCATCATCGATCGATGGTACATGGTGTACATCGATCAATGGAGTATTTTGACTTCATCTTCGATAGAAGCGTCATCAATCAATTACACAGAGTGTGTATCGATCGATATGTAACCTCATTGTCTGATCTTCATAGTCATCTCGGAAAACTCTCCTTTAAGCTCCAAAAGGGCACCTAAATCATCATTTTACTCCAAAGTGCTCCTAAACCTGAAAACATACCTAATAGACTCCAAAACATATATAAAACTCATAAAAACATATCAAAACCATGGCTAAAAACGGGTCAAAATCATGGTCTATCAAAATACAACAAAGTTATTTATTATTAAATAAACACATAATCTTAACATAATAATTATTTTTTTTCAAAATAAGATATCAAAAAGATATTCTTAACTATATTTCTAAGATCACATTTTAAAAATATCTTTTAATATCTTTTTTTTTAAAGGTAAATATTTATTGGTTTGATATTATTTTAATAAAAAAATCGTAAATAATATTAAATTTAATTAAAAATGAATACTAACTCATTTTAGTTTAAAAATAAGAAATAACCTTCTATAATATTTGTATATAAATATTTCATATTTTTAATTAAAAATCACACAAAATATTACTATAAAATGAATAGCTGTAAATATTTTCAAAATAGAAGGACACCTAAAATCTTTGATATATATTTTAATTCATATAACCATGAAAAGAAAGATATATTTAAAGTATAGCTACACATGGTAAAATATTAAAAGAAGTGAAAAATAGCTCACTTAATTAGGAGATGATTTATTATTACCAAAAAAATATTTAAATAAAAGCATACCCTAAAATATCTCAGTGGCAAGAAATTGTAAATATTGTTGAAACAGGAGGGCATTTTGAAAGAGCGAGTTTTGTTCCTTCACAAAATCGAATTCAATAATAATATTAGCAACGTTAATTTATACAGTACTTTGAAAAATGAATGAATCTGATTAGCTGGATCGAACCAATCACATCTTTTATTTAAGATAATCCAAGTTGGGCTAATAATAAGATTTGAATTAAACCATCCAAACCGGTTAAAAATGTTGTGACGACACAGGTCTATCATAACACCTAGTTCAACTAAATACAAAACATAATCGGTTTAATTTGGATAGATAAATAATGTGAAGAAATAAAATTTATTTGGACTGCTTACATAAATACTTTGAAGTTTTTTTACTAAGTAATGGACCTATGACTTAAGGGCACTTAATTTGCTATATTTTGAAGATTTTATTTTATTTACAAACAGTGAATTTAATTATATTGATTGTTAGCACGATTTATTCATTTTATATTAAACTTTTGATACATGCAAATCTGTAACTAAATTTAATGAAAATTGTGTAAGGTCTTTAATCTATTTTTAAATAAATGAAGTTTCTGTATTTGAAAGAATTTTTGATATTCCCCTTTTTGCCATGAAAAATATCTT